ATCAATAAATCAATAAATCAATAAATCAATAAATCAATAAATCAATAAATCAATAAATCAATAAATCAATAAATCAATAAATCAATAAATCAATAAATCAATAAATCAATAAATCAATAAATCAATAAATCAATAAATCAATAAATCAATAAATCAATAAATCAATAAATCAATAAATCAATAAATCAATAAATCAATAAATCAATAAATCAATAAATCAATAAATCAATAAATCAATAAATCAATAAATCAATAAATCAATAAATCAATAAATCAATAAATCAATAAATCAATAAATCAATAAATCAATAAATCAATAAATCAATAAATCAATAAATCAATAAATCAATAAATCAATAAATCAATAAATCAATAAATCAATAAATCAATAAATCAATAAATCAATAAATCAATAAATCAATAAATCAATAAATCAATAAATCAATAAATCAATAAATCAATAAATCCATGAATCCATGAATCCATGAATCCATGAATCCATGAATCCATGAATCGATAAATCGATAAATCGATAAATCGATAAATCGATAAATCAATAAATCAGTAATAGAGAGTCGGTTAAATGGGCAATGAATTGCAGTTTTGTGGGGTCATAAATATGCGCCTTTCGGATTTTTGAAAAAGTTCATGGCTTACTAGATATTTCGAAAAAAAAACAAATTTCGGCTATTTTAAAAATGGATCCTAAGACTAGACTTTTTTCCAGCGAATTTCCCAAAATTCTCCTGATTTTAATGGCCCGTAAACAAGGAATCCGCAAGAACCACAAATTAGGGCTGCGGACCTTTCTGAAAATGCTCGTAAAAACCGAGAAGCATTAATCTAACCAGAGGCAGGAAATTAAATGATCGTGTAGTTTGTTTTCATCGCCGCGGTTTTATGTGTTTTTTTCGGTTAATGTTGATAGCAGCAGCCGGAAAAACCGAAAGAAAAATAATTGGATATGAGGGTTTAATCGATAAAGGGGATTAAATAAATGTATTTGGTTAAAATAATCCTAAAAATAAATATTTTTTCTCTCAGGTCAATCCCTGTTTTAATATGAATACTGAATTACCTAGTTTATTTTTGTCTAATTTAATTTTTAATAATTTTTTACATGAAATTTAACCATATAATTTAACCGAATTTGATAATTTTTGAAGTGAAACTTCAAACTTACGCGCGTTGGAAGTAAAAATTGTGACGTGACACACGGCCTTGAATGACGTGTAGAGAGTAGAGATAGATCTACCCCTTTGCGCAACAATTTAACCTCGCTATCTCTTGATAACCTACCCCGATGAAAAATAAGCTTGTGGCAACACTGGGTAACGATCTGTGCCTTATGTACAATGATTTGACTATACTTTTTTGTCAAAATAAAAACGTGCAATTATTCACAAGAATAATTAATTATTAATTAGAATATATTTTAACCAAATCTGCTAATTTTTTGCATTAATAACTTCTTTCCGCGAAAAAATCTTCCATCTTTTTACATGGATTTTCACTTTTCTAATTTCAAAGAATAAAATTATTATACAATCTTTTTTCCCATCTCCTAAATTACCTTTTTTGCTTGGTTTTAAATTTAAATGAGCAAATTAGTTGAAATTAGGCTTTTTTTCAAGAATTATTTCGGTAATAAGGTTCTAAATTAAGAGATAATTACAAAATAGGGTGTAATTAGACCTCATTTTTTTTTCTTTTTTTTTATAGATAATCAACCTTACTTTGAAGCATACTCTACAGTAAATTAAGTAATGATTTATAAATCTTTGTTCGTAGTTTATTACAGCAATTTTCAAAAAAGAGTAGCACATGAAAATGACATTATAAAAACGAAATAATTTTACTTTTTAGACTATTTTTTTGTTTGAACAGAAAAGTTCTAGGCTTATAAATGGCATTTGTGTATCTTGTTTGGCCATTTCAGCCAATTGCATAGTAAAAAACCTTCTTATAAAAATAATTCCTTAGAAACATAGAATGTAAAAAAATGACGTCTCGCAACACAATTATTCCACTATAAAAAGTTGTGAGATCTCATGTAAAACCAAGTCAGTTTATTTTATTTAGTCTCTCTTTAAGAATCTATTCAACAATTTTGTTGTAAATTGTAAGTATCAATATTCGTCATCTCTATTTCTATAATAATTATAATGGCTTGGAAAATAGCACAGCACCATAATTATAAAAGAGTTAGAAATTATAATCTACCATCTCGATTACTAAGTAAATCTAAACAGTGCCCTTAAAAATAAAGTTATTTAATTAGAATATAATATCATATCGTGCAATTGCCAAGTGTTTATTATTATTACATATATAAAGATGTCTAATATTGATACTAAGAATTTATATCAAAATTGTTGAATAAGTGCTTAAAGAGAGACTAAATGAAATAAACTGACTTGGTTTTACATGAGATCTCACAACTTTTTATAGCGGAGGAATTGTGTTGCGAGACTTGGCATTTTTTTACATTCTATGTTTTTGATGGGATACAACTTTCACCCTATATCTAGCTTCACATTCCCAAGATTTAAGAGTTGTCATAGAATATTGTGAATCATCGATCATTGTCAATAAAATTACTCCTACGCCAATGTAGATTTACACTGCTCCGCGCTCTTTAGAGACAATGAAAAGACTGTTCGCCCCCTTCGATAGTATAAATGGGAATTGTGAGGGAACGAAGCCTTTTAAAGACCGCAGGATTTAATATTGTTTAGATGGAAGAAGCATTAGCAGCGATAACGATTGGCAAGAGTGGTTTATCCTTCGGCGGAGGATGACGCAAAGGGAGGAAGAGGCGAAAACTGAAGGACGACGAAGGTTGATTTGCTAACAGTAGTTATTTTCGTGTTAACTTGTTCCCATTTCCGATATTAGATTTTATTTTAACCTTCCACTATTCGCGCCTTGTTTTTCTACGTTAAGTACTCTCGTAGGGTACTTTAATACCCCAATTAAAAAAAATAGATGTCATCTATACTAATATATAATATCGTTAAGTGACATACTGATTAATCACGATCCTGCTCAAACCACTCAACGTTAGAAGCTCAATTTTGGCATACAGGTTGATTCTAGGGTGTAGAGGTTCGATAAGAAGGGATTTTTCGAAATTCCAGTTCCAAGAGGGTGAAACCACCCCTCAAATATTACAATATTTTTTATTTAAAAAACGGTCAAGTTTCCGAAAAAAACGCTTAAACACGTATATTTTATTTAGTTTTTTTACATATTTTAAGATTTTTTAAAAATGTATACAGGATGTTTCGAAAAATCTGGTCTTTGATTAATCATGATCCTGCTTAAAGCGCTTGACGTAAAAAGCTGATTTTTGGAAAACAGATTGACTTTAGGATGTAGAGATTCGATAAGAAGGGATTTTTCAAAACTCGAAGTGAGGGGGTGATAACTATCCCTCAAATATTAAAATATTTTTTATTTAAAAACCGGTGAGTTTTTCGGAAAAACTCTTAAACACGTATATTTTATTTTGTTGTTTTACATATTTTAAGATTTTTTATAAATCTATACAGGGTGTTTCATAAAATATGACCATTGAGTAATCACGATTCTGCTTAAACTGCTTGACGTTTAAAGCTGATTTTTGGTAAACGGGTTGACTGTGGGGTGTAGAGGTTCGATAAGGAGGGGTTTCTCGAATCTCAAATTCCAAGAGGGTGAAAACGCCCCTCAAATATTACAATATTTGTTATTTAAAAAACGATTAGTCTTTCGGGAAAACGCTTGGACAAGCATAATTTATTTGTTTTTTTTACATATTTTGAATTTTTTTAAAAAATCATACAGGGTGTTCCAAAAAGTTGAGTAATTTCTTAACCACGATTCTGCTTAAACTGCTTGACGTAAAAAGCTTATTTTTGGCAAACGGATTTTTCGAAAGTCAAATTCCAACGAGATGAAACTACCCCTCAAATATTACCAAGTTATATAATAATATCGCCATATTGTTTTTTCTCATGCTGACATAAATGTGAGAAAATTTTATCCAGTATGTATGATAATGGAAATTCTTGCTTTGCTTTATCATCACCATTAGAAATGATTAATTCGACTCCAACGAAGTCGCTGGTATACGCTAGTATTATATAAAACATATTCATTTATTTAAATTACAACAATTGTAAACATCGAATAACTTGTAAATTAAGTAACTAAATATTAATTAAAAAATGTATATGTATACCTCTGTGACAGATTCATCTGTTCAAAAAAGTCATATGCACAGAGAAAACACTATCGTATCTACAAATAGATAATATCATTACGCCAACGTACGATATTACGATATTTAGTTTTAATCATCTGCTAATGGTGCTAACATGGTTAGCGAAACGCGCATCCAGTGCAAAAGTCAAAGTGTTTTGGTGTATTGTGATGAATCAGATGTAATACCAAAGGTTCCAACCCTCAGCTGTAATCAACTGCTTCAAATCAACTGCATTTCAATCAAGCCATTGTTGATGGATTTTACATATCTATTTGGGGTACTTTAAGCAGCTGGGTTTTCCTGTCATGATTTCTGGGACATAAAATAACACCTTGCTTCTACCATTTTGGGGCATTTTGCTTCAAGATCGTGTACTTTTGTAGATCTTGATGGTTCCTCAACATTCAAAAATCCGTTTCTTAAATGGTGGTAGCACAAAGCACACACACCTACACAACGGTTAATGCGATACACGAGGCACGTAATGTTAGCATCATCTGCAGATGATTAATTAATAACTTAATTAACTTTCAACACTTCCAGTTTTAATAAAAATAAAGACTTTGTAACATTCTCTTTCGTTTCCGCATATCGTCCATCTACTCTGACTTACCCGGAATTATTCAGCACGCATACCAACTAAAATATTTACCCAACAACAACACGTTCGTCCCAAAATTCACACACAAACACACGCACACAGTGTCTTAATTAGGTACAAAGACCCCGGTGAAAAATACACCCGAGGCAAATGGCTTTTGCCAGCATGGAGTCTGGATTCTGGGGTAGATTCCCACCCTGGCGCTTAGCTGCGGAGAATTCCACACAGTTCCAAGCAAATAATGAATCTTTTGTATCCGTTGACAGGGAACGTGAAAGCAGGCAGAGGCGAAAAGAGATTACCATATTGTGGAAATGTGTCGGGTATGAATGGATTTTAATTGCAGGAATTAAGTAAACGTTATAATATATAAAATTATGTGAATAAATAAAAAGCCTTAATGGTGTTTTAACGGCGTATTATTTTTGAAACAATTAAAATCGTTTTATATTTTTCTTCTGTATGTGTCAGCCAAATTAAAGATCATAAATAAATACACTTTTCATGTGTTTTAAAGTTTTACATATTGTATTCTAGTGGACCGATTTTGGTGATTTTTTAAGCAGTTTGTAGCTAAATTATTTGACTTTTTAGTGTCTCTTTCTAAATCAAAAATGAAAGTTGTCATCGGTCAATTATACGAGGGAAAAAAAATGTTGATGTTTTGGTGAAAGTTTGAAACACCCTGTGGAGTACGTTAATAAAGCAAGAAATTTAAAAATCGTTTTATCATCTAGGTGTATTTTTTTCGATAGTTTACGATAACAGACACCCATTTTCATCCAAATTTTACATTAGTTCAAAAATTATTTGGAAAAAATCGAAATAAAAATGAAACTTTGTATGAGAAACCTGTATCTCCGAAATGAAGCGTTTTAGGATATAAATTCGTACGAACTTTTTTACTTATTTTTATCGGTTTATTTGCTGCCGAAGTTTTCAGAATACAATTCGGACCCCCCTGTATGTACAGGGTGGGTCAAATTCGACGCTTTTAAATGGAAACACCCTTTTCTATAGGAGATAGATAAAAACTAATATCGGTGTCTGGAGCTCAATTTTTGTCAGAAACATGATGGTGAAAACCGCATATCGATATTTGTTACCGTTTCGGAGTTACGGGGTGTTTTTCAAAAATATGCATTTTTAACAAATCGCTGTAACTTTTTTGCTATGAAAAATTTTGTATTTTTATGAAAACATTTCAAAAGCACCTTTTTACGTAGAATTTAATGGTTTAAGTATATTTTTTTTTAAAATTAATAATTTAAGAATTATCACGAGAAAATTTGATTTTGTATATGGGACACCCTGTATATTTTTAATTTATTGAAAAGAATTTAAAATTACCTTTCCAAAAATATAACACACTTGATATTTTGCTCGATTCCTCTTCGAGATATAGAGTATATAAAAATTCGCTTGCTTTAAATGAGTAGGCTTTGAACGGCACCCGCTGTAATGCAAAAAAATTCTAGCTGTGAGCATCAATTAAAACGAAAATAATATTTGCAATGAGAGATACAGAATTTTATAACTATTTAAAATATATTTAACCAACATCAACACATTTAAACTATATCTAATAACAATAAAAATAAATAGCAAACCAAGACATGAGATTTTGCTACAGGTGTAAAACAAACCGTCTTCTGTTATGGACAGACGGGGCCGTTTTCGAACATTTCTAGCGGAATCCATTAACTTAGTGGGGGGTGAAAGATATCCCCTCATGACTGCTAAATATTTCTAATTCTTGTCTAGATTATACCGAAGAATAAGGAACCTTTATTCTTCCGCAAATATATCCATATGATTAGATCCATGGGCACTAAGTCAGGCGGCCTCGACGGCCAACGGCTGGGATCATGGTTAGCTGTTCCATTATTCTTGAAATTGGCTGCAAAAATTTGCTAATAACTTCAGCGTTCAGAGGCGGTGCGTCGTCTTGCTGGAAAAATATGTTTTCGAGTTCCATTAAGGCCATATCATCAATAAGGGGTCCAAAGCCTACTAGTTAAAAGTGGCGAACTTTTAAAAATTCTGTATTTCGAAGGGGATTATAACAAAATATCAAGTGTGCTATATTTTTGGAAAGGTAATTTTAAATTCTTTTCAGTTAATTAAAAATACAGAGGGTGTCCCAAATAAAAAATCAATTTTTCTGTTGATAGCACTTAAATTATTAATTTTAAAAAAATTATACTTAAACCATTAAATTCTATGTAAAAAGGTGCTTTGGAAATGTTTTCATAGAAATACAAAATTTTCCATAGCAAAAAAGTTACAGCGATTTGTTAAAAATGTACATTTTTGAAAAATACCCCGTAACTCCGAAACGATAACAGATATTGATGTGCGGTTTTCATCATCGTGTTTTTGATGAAAATTGAGCCCCAGACACCGACATTAGTTTTCGTGTATCTCCTATAGAAAAGGGTGTTTCCCTTTAAAAGCGTCGAATTTGACCCACCCTGTACATATAGCATCACCCACCGATACATTATTTTTTTACACCCTGTATATGTGTGTGAGTAGTAAACCATTAAATCAAAAAACTTATTGATAACTCATCAATTATATTTATTATTCTTCTATTTATTACAATTTTTATAAGCAGCATATTGAAAATATCAATATAAATTGCCCAAAATATCGAACAAAAAATTATCGATAGTCTGAAAAATCGTATTGTATAGCCCATCCCTAGTTTACACCCACCTTCTTGTGTAATTAATATAAAAGATTCATTATACATCATCATTAAGAAAGGGATGAAGGAAATACCCTTTGTGTGCCATAATACAGAGGAATTTATTTATTTTAATTACATTGTTATTGTTCCTTATAATTAATTTCAATTCATCACCTAATTTCTAAAATAAAATATTTAAAGATTTGTATAATTGATTTGTAAATAAACTAACTAAAGTATATTTATATTAAATATTTAGGAAATATAATTTAACTACTTTGTATTAAAACAGGTGCTATGCTGCACGAATTTAAAAAAAGAATTTTGATTATACTACCTGTCGCTAACTGAAGCAAAGCAGATGTTTTTAATCAATATTATTCTATTACAATATAAACTATAACTGATTATAGTTTAGATAGTTTGTTAGAAAGTAAAATGGGGCCAAGTGAAATTAGTTTTTGAATTGTTTTGTCTCAGTTAAAATGCATCTAGTGTTGCTGAAGCGGAAAATCTAATGATTTTGTAAAGAACAATGATATTGTTTTGTGAAAATGTGAGTGTTGTATAAATGAAATCTGTATAAGTAGATCTTCAGGTAATTTGTGAATGGTCAATACGCCAAAACACTTTTACTTTTACACTGGACGCGCATTTCGCTAACCGTGTTAGCATCATCAGCAGATGATTAGAAACTAAACTGTTTAGTTTTTAATCATTTTTACATTAATGTATTTAGTGTTTTATTTTGCTGTGTAACACCAAAAGTTCCAACTCCCAACTGTACTATTATTGCTTCATACTTTTATTGTTTCCAATCTGAACTCAAAATTTAAACACAAAAGTTGTTTTATTTAAACCAAAACGCAAAACTCTTTATCAAGCATATTAAAATTTCTTTTTGTTCTTAAATTCTTAATTAATGTGAATAAAAATGACAGACAAATAATGTCACTGTTAGATATCTTCTCGTTTTGGACAGACTATACAAATAGATTTCTATTAAATCTAAACAGAATTGGAACTAATATGAATTTCGACTATTCGAAAAAAACTACTACAGTTTTTTTTTACTTATTTCAGATTTAAGCAACTGAAATAGAAAGCCAAAAAATGCATATGGGACCGTGGATACGGCACCATTGACCATCTCTTCACCATGTCCATGCTTTATTCCAGCGAAACGGCGGCCAGTACCATCTGTTCCAATGGGTCGACCACAGACTGTGCCCCATGTATCTGGACCAATTTGTCAGCTTTACCTGCAGCAATCTCAGGTAGGCCTATATTATCTATTATCTATTTTAAACATTCAATAAAAAGCTACGGATAAAAAAATAAAGCTTTATTGTTACAAAAACAAAAAGCCGCAATAGCTTCAACGACAAAGCATTTAAAAAACAAACAAAAACACAAAAAATATACAAATAATAAAAGATCTAACCAAGTAACATACAATTCAAAAAAAAATACGTCATTAAAATCACAAACGGAACATACATACATACATTGCAGAACACAAAAAAAACGTATTAATAAAAATTTTACGATTTTAAAATTGTAAATGGTTATAATCACTTAATCTATACTAATATATATAATCCTTAAGTGACTGACATACTGATTAATCACGATCCTGCTCAAACCACTCAACGTAAGAAGCTCAATTTTGGCATACAGGTTGATTCAAATTTCAGTTCTAAGAGGGTGAAACCACCCCTCAAATATTACAATATTTTTTATTTAAAAAACGGTCAAGTTTCCGAAAAAACGCTTAAACACGTATATTTTATTTTGTTTTATTACTTATTTTAAGATTTATTAAAAATGTATACAGGATGTTTCGAAAAATCTGGTCAATGATTAATCACGATCCTGCTTAAAGCGCTTGACGTAAAAAGCTGATTTTTGGAAAACAGATTGACTTTAGGGTGTAGACGTTCGATAAGAAGAGATTTTTCGAAACTCGAATTCTAAGGGGGTGAAACAAATATTTAAATATTTTTTATTTAAACACGTATATTTTATTTTGTTGTTTTACATATTTTAAGATTTTTATAAATTTATACCGGGTGTTTCATAAAATATGACCATTGAGTAATCACGATTCTGCTTAAACTGCTTGACGTTTAAAGCCGATTTTTGGCAAACGGATTGACTGTGGGAGTGTGTAGAGGTTCAATAAGGAGGGGTTTCTCGAATCTCAAATTCCAAGAGGGTGAAAACGCCCCTCAAATATTACAATATTTGTTATTTAAAAAACGGTTAGTCTTTCGGGAAAACGCTTGGACAAGCATAATTTATTTGGTTTTTTTAAATATTTTGAATTTTTTAAAAAAAATCATACAGGGTGTTCCAAAAAGTTGGGTAATTTCTTAACCACGATTCTGCTTAAACTGCTTGACGTAAAAAGCTTATTTTTGGCAAAAAGTCAAATTCCAACGAGATGAAACTACCCCTCAAATTTTTCTCATGCTAACATAAATGTGAGAAAATTTTATCCAGTTTGTATATTAATGTAAATTCTTGCTTTGCTTTATCATCACCATTACAAATGATTAATTCGACGCGAACGAAGTCGCGGGTACACGCTGGTAGTTATTATAAAATATTAAATACTCGACTTTTAACCAGAGTGTGAGATGATCAAAATTTTAAAATTCAAAATTGTTCAAGATTAAATATCAACAAAAAAGTCGTTTACCGCATATAATCGTTAAAGTCGTTTACCTCTCCAATAAGAATGTTTTCAGAGCTTTGCGAAATGCGGGAAAGAATGAAAGCGACTTGATATACAAAGGCAGGTAATCGTAAATTTTTTTGGCATTGTACAGTATTGAGCCTTTAACTAGTTCTGAGCTCGGGGTTGGCAGATAAAGATCGTGCTGCATTCCTAAGTGGATAGTTGTGAGGTGGCCTTTCGGGAATAGCAGATATATGCTTGCGGATTAAGCAAACGGATTCAAATATGAATAAAGAAGGAAGAGTCAGAATTTTGAAATTTTTAAAGAAATTCTGGCAGTGAGTTCTACTGTTCAGTCCCAATAAGTAATATCGAACTGCTCTCTTTTGAAGTTTGAAAATACGATCAAATTTTGTCGCGCAGCAAGTACCCCAAAATGGAAGAGCATAACGTAGATGCGACTCAAAAAGGGCAGAACAGATTATTCTAGAGGTTGATAAGTTAAGTTCCTTAAGCGGCCCATACATTATCAAACAAATTGCACAACGCAGGCTGTTGCGCAACGAGTTTCCAATGTATGATAGTGTTTGATGTGTTGCGCAATTGTTTGATGAGTTTCAAGAATATTTGAATTCTTTTGTGCAACAGGACTGTTTGCGCAACGCGTTGTGTAGTGTATGTGTGTGTGTTGCGCTTCGTTGTGCAATATTTTAGTTCTTTCATCCAAATTCTTTGTTTTCTTTTTCGTTTTTTGGTATCATCGATATCATCTAGGGTATATACGATAATAATTGACGCAATGACAATTCAGGACATGTTTTCAATTCAGGACAAAAGTTTGATCAAAATTTTACTAAGTGCATGGGTGAGGCAGTTGTGCAACGGAACGTTGCGCATCGCTTTGTTGCGCAACTTGTTTGGTAGTGTATGGACCGCTGAATCAGTTGTGCAACGCAACGTTGCGCATCGCTTCGTTGCGCAATTTGTTTGATAATGTATGGGCCGCTTTAGAAACTGATTTTAGCGCAACACAGGCAGCGCTTAGTTTCTTTGATAAAGCTTCGATGTGCAAGTCCCATTTTAATGAGTTGTCTACAAAAAATCCTAAGAATTTTACGAGGTCAATAGTGGTGTTATTAAGTACAAAAGGTTTTATAGTACATTTATATGACAAAACTTAGATAGTTAAGATATTCTCCATCTATTTTTAATCCTTTGTTGCTCCAGTCCAGTTGACGGAAGGATTCTTCTAGTGTTGCTGTAAACAGATTTGGGGATATTACGTCTACCTGTCGTACTCCTTTGTCATGATAAAGGAAAATAACCATCTATTATTTGAACGTTGTGAATTGTCTAGTATCTGAACATATTAAAATAAAAGTATCATATACGAATTAACTAAAGCTGTTTTTTTTTACATTCAGGAGTCAATAAATGTCAATAATTTTATTAAAATTTAATAAAAAATATATATTTTTGCTACTGAATAACCAGGAAAAATTCATAAAACTGCAGAAATAAGTTATTTCAAATATCATAAAGCATATTGAGTGAAATTTATAGATAGCATTCTGTTATAATCTCTTTTGTATGATAAAACTTTTCAGACGGTAACAAACCAAACTAAACCACGAAATTGATTTATGTTCCCGTTCTTAACCTGAAATGATTAAGGAACGATAGCGAAGGAAATTACATCCTAACTGTGATATTAAAGTAGAATTTAACTTTAAAACTAATAGAACAAATGGTTTCTAAACTTCGTACATTCAACGGGAAATCTAACAGCAGTTGGTGTATTAAAACAAGACACAAATTATACTTAAATTGCATAGTTATAGAAGAAAAAATTGGCGCCGGGAGGCACGTATAGCCGCCCATACTTAAATATGTTAATAAAAAGTTGGTGGGCAGTTCTTTTAGTTTCAACGTAAAGGATTTTTTTCCAATTTTGGTCGGCAGTTATTTCCCATATCCGCCACCTGGGGTCGCGTCCGAAGGGAGTTTGGAGTTCTCCACACGGATGTTCTCAAAAACGGACCACGGAAACACCTCGGAATATCTCAAAAACTGCGACTTTGACTGATTTTGACCGCGTTTCGCTAGCTACTGTAATTTTGGAGTTACGATTTTTAAAATTTTTTAACCGTCTCCCATGTGTGTTACAGCCGGACAGACAGACACCATGAAAATATTTTGTACCTATTTAAGTCATAAATAACTCATTTTGAGTGAAATTAAAAAAACCTTTTTTTGCCGATCTTATAATAGCCTTACCATACCTGCAGTTTCCGCAGAAACTAATCCATTTATCTTGAATTATCAACTTTCATGAAAAAAAATTTAGCTTTTTTCTAAAAGAGGGGTGATTCCTCTAATAAAAACAGCTATGTACGCCACTGCCTCTCATTTAGGGTGACATTCGAAACCGTCACCACGAAAGACTAGAGAGGCACTTGAAAAACATCCCCCTGTTCAATACTCAGTGGTCCTTAGGTGAACTAAATAAGGTTAGGAAAATGCCATTATTCTAAATAGGTCGTTTAACTTGAGATATACCGTATGATCGAGAAAAAACGGCGTCAGCGATGGCTATGAAATGAAGATCGCTGTCATTTTATATGTAAATTTATATGGGAAATGTCATCGATCGTCATTTCCCAGCCAACTGGACGCCATTTTTTTTCGATCATACGGTATTTTATCTAGCAACATTTACTATATTTAATTGGTACATATTTGATAATATACATAGAAACTTCTAGAGTAGTAGAATATACAGGCCGCCCACTGTATCCGCCACTGCTTCCAAGTGCTTCTAGCGATTCGAATGAAATTTTGAGGGTAGAGTACCATGGTACAAAGAATACAAGGTATGATATTGCGCAGGTTGGTCGCTACGTCACAGGTGATAACAGGCGCTATTGGTCAGGTTATAAACCTGTTTTTTTTTGTTTATATACCGTCATTGAATTATCGCTAAGCAAGTTACTGTGGAGCAGTGCATAAGGAGTCGGGCTAGGAAGCGAGAGACCGGAGTTCGAATCTCGGCCGGAACATCACTTTTTATTTATTTTTTTAAATACTGTTGTATTCTATAGTTTATTTTTGTAGTATAAAAAAAAGAACTATTTATTCTGTTATTTTTTAATCTCCGTTATTAATATAAATTGATTGTTAGTACAATACCTCATTTAATATAAAATAATATTCTACTTTTTGAAATGTATCGGGCCCTAATTGTACCTAAAAGTAATATATTTTTAGTGATATACCATATTGTAAACTATTTAATATTTTAGTCACTTAAAAAGTTAATTTGCATTGAATAATTGCCTACCATTAAAGGAAATTTGAGCTATATAATCCTTGATGGGCATATTCTGGGTATGCAAATACTTCCTTTAAATTTTGGGTGTCGTTCAACCGATTTATTCTCAAAACCAGAAACTTCTACATATAAAAAGAAGCAGAGGTCACTAATTATAATAAACTTCACCCTTGGTATTACTTCCACTAATTATAATAAACTTCACCCTTAGAATTACTTCTATCACAATTACAATACGTTCATCTGCATTGGCATTTTCTACTTTTCGATGGGAAACAATAAACTTCCCAATATTTTTTAAATGATGTAACAATTCCTCTTGTGGTTACTTTTCCATAGATATCCTCAACTCTGTCCTCATGTGAATTCAGAGGCAATGAAAATGAAAATTATTTACCATAAACATCGCAAACTAAAAACCTAATAAACAATTTTATACCGAATATAGAAATAAATTCAGTATTCTTACCTATCGTCCAAATCCATGTTAATAGATAATTATTATTTTTAAATATATTTTTGGAACTGCTGGTTTTAGTAATTATTAAATTAAACGAACTAAAAAGTCTTAAAAATAAACAATTCTTAACAATAACCCCAAAAATGCAGATCTCCTTTCAACTTTCTTTATTTTTTATTTATTCATTGTTTTCCTAGTGACGTCACAGGTGGTATGCGCGAACTGAACGAAATTGGAGCCGCTATCGATCATACCTTGTATTCTTTGTACCATGGTAGAGTACTATTAAAGTGTCGATAGATTCACCAGGGATATGGCTTATCATTGGAATATTTATAAAAAAAAACATGTGCGCAACTAACTTTTTCTCTTAGTACAGTTGTGAGCCGGTATTTTGTCGATTACACTCTCCTTCATGAGATAAACACAATTTTATTAATTTGCCTTAATTCAAGACTAGTAGGAACCTTTAAAAAAATTAATATCAGTAACTGGGAAAAGTGTACCATTATTTTTTTTCTAAATTTGCTGTAGATACACACATGGCCAACATTATTGCATATATCGTTTAAAAATATACGGAAAGGTATTTAAAGAATCTTTTTTTATGCATAGCTTTGAAAACCTGTAATAAACATTTTTTTGTTAAAATGGATATGGTAAACAATGTTTCTCGTTCAAACCCAATATTACTACAAATTCTTGCACATTTCGATTTGTGGTCTCTTGGGTTTCAGAAGAAATTTGACCATTGTTTTGGCCTTAAAATGCCTAGAATTAGAAACATTATTTCACAGTTTAATAGAGTCAGAATAGTAACACTGTCTCAACAGGGCTACCGGCAAGTTGCAATAGCTGAAATTGTAGGAGTTAACCAAAGCGATGTTTCGCGAATATTAAAAAAAATCAGGGAGACAAACGAGGATACAGACCGGCCTGAAAGAGGTAGAAAGAGAGTTACTACTGCTGTGCAAGACCGTCAAATATCCCTAATTGCACGACGCAATCTCCTGCTTTCTAGTACTGCTATTAAAACTGAGTTCGCTCGCCTTGAAGGAGTAAATGTTTCAAGAAAGACCATAGCAGGAAGGCTCCACGACAGAGGATTACATTTAAGGAGGCCTCTACGTGTTCCGAAGCTTAATTTACAGCACAAAATTACGCGACTAAAATTGGGTGAGGAGATGAGAGCAAATTAACCTAATTGGAATTTCGTCATGTTTAGTGATGAAACAAGAATAGGCCTAGTGTCAGACTCGCGACGAACTTTGGTCTGGAGAGCATCTGGAAGACCAGCACGCTTGAATGCAGCTCAACCCCGTGTCTCGTTCCAAGGGGGAAGCATTATGGTATGGGCAGGTATAATGCACGGAGCTCGAACTCCTCTTGTTTTTATTGATGGCACAATGACAGGTGCCTCATATCTTAGAGACGTTTTAGAGCCTATTGTGCGTCCATTTCGAGGGGCAGTGGGGGATGAATTTGTTTACATGGACGATAATGCTCCACCCCATCGCACTTTAGCGGTTCGCGAATTTTGTGAGGAAGAGGGTATAAAGGTGCGTATTCATTATCCGCACGAACGAACGAACGAATGTACGCTAGTGGTATGAACGGGGACCGCACGAGAAGACCGGAGGCATTTGTTGGCGAACGCCTTTGATGTACCGACTCGAAACGGATGGTCGAGCGAACGAACGAACGAACGGCCGCTGCGCGTTCTTTCATTCATTCGCTCGCTCGCTCGCTCGTTCGTTCGTTCGTTCGTTCGTTCGTTCGTTCGTTCGGATAATGAATACGCACCTTAAGAAAACTGTTGTGGTCACCGATGTCTCCAAATATGAATGCACTGAAAAAAGGATCTCTCAGTCGATATGAATATGACTTTGACCCAAAAGATTGGCGCTTTTCAATAGGGCCAAGAACGACGTTTCTTTGCCCAAAGCATTAACTATCTTTTCGTAAGCTTTAAAAAATTACCTTAGAGAACAGAAGAATCTATCTGTCCAAAGTATTTCACTCTTGACCCAAAATGAATATGCAAAGAAGTTCTTGCTACAAGAACAATAGTCTCTTTGATTCATGAAAAAATTCTTGATTGAAAAGGGACATTTCTTGATTAAAGAGAGACTTTTTTATTGACTCAGCTAAAATTTATTTTGATATAAAAGAAGTCTATACATCATAATTTGAAATGTTTTTTTTCAGGGACCATTCCACCATCAGAGGATCCTCGCATCGAAACCTTGCGAAGGTATTCTTATGGCGTGGCATTACCCTCAATATGTCTTCTTGGAATCGTGGGAAACATTTTCAATCTCATCGTGCTTACAAGAAAAAACATGAGAGGCACAGCCTATATTTACATGAGAGGTAAGTACATATTTACAAATTTGTTCTTCAAAAAAATTGTCATTTCTATAATTTTTTTTTCATTTTTATAATTGAAAACGACTGCAGTTGTTAAAAATAAAGTTACTATTGTATTTAATTAAATAAACAAAGAAATAGACAGGAACTAAACAACTTAAATTAAAAAAGTCAAAGGGGTATCATAAAGACTGGAAAAGTTAGATCAAGCATCATCTTTGTTGACTAATCTTTCTGTCGAAATATTTATCTTCCGGCAAGGTTTATGTGAACTAAATCTAGTGAACAAGTAAAAAGGAAAATGACAGAGTGTTAGTATTTCATTTGATGGGTGTCATCGCTTCCGGAAATCCAATATAAAAATGCGAAGATATATGAAGGAGAATTTTTTTACGGATCCCTCCAGAAACAGCCTTTTACGTTTACTCTAGAGGTTTCAAAAACATAGTAAGAACAAAAACATAGTCAGTAATATACTGGGTGTAAAAAAATAGTTTACCAAACTTCATGGAGTGATAATACAGATAAAAATAAGTCAACAAGTTCCTATGAATATAATATGCCCTAATATGTTTCATAAGGAAGTTATAGCCCTTGAAAGGGTATATAATAATATATATTTTGATTATTTTTCAAAAACATTGCAAGAAACGCACATTGCAAAATTTGTATGTTAATAGATGACATATTGTATGTTAATATATGACAAATCTTGGAGTCTATTTTGATGCGAAGCTTTCTTTTCAGGCACATATAACTACTAAATTAAAGGCGGCTATATACATACGGTTGAAGAATTTTTCGTCTCTTAAGAAATATATACCATCAAAGACTAAATATCAATTATGTGACACACTTATTTTATCTTTATTTGATTATGGTGATGTTGTTTATGGTACATCCATAAACGCTAGATTCTCTAGAAAAATCCAAATACTTCAAAACTCGTGTCTACGGTTTTCTTTTAACATTCCTTTTAGAGATCATATAACGCCACATCTTAAAAATTTATCTATTTTATCCATGACTAACAGACGACAATTTCATTTAATGACATTCATTTATCGAATTTTAACTACAGAGCAGCCTCCTTATTTGTTCTCATTGTTTCACTACGTTGACCATGATCATTCGACTAGACAAGTGCATTATTTTAAAATTCCTCAACACCGGACAGCTAACTTCCAAAAATCTTTCAGTTTCATAGCGCCACATTTGTGGAATAATATTTCTAATAACTTTAAATTTCAATCCTTTACAGATTATAAAAAACAAATTAAAAATAATTTACTAAATTCGTGAATATTATAATTTCTTCGACTGATTTGTGAGATCTTGTTCTTCTGATATGCCCGTCATTGGTTGCTGTTCCGGTTTTTACACTGTTTCATTATGCCTCTCTGCTTATTTCCGCTCATCCCTGATAAAATTATATTTTCACTTTTTTTATATAATTTTAATTTTTTTAATTCTGTTTATTTTTATAATTTAACTTATTTCTATTTTGTATTTGGGGTCGCACCACTCTGGCACTTTGGGCCATTGTATCGGTTTTTTAATCGCGGTTTTTTGCTCTTCGTTTTCAAGATTTTTACGTTGAAATGTTACGATACATATTAACCAAATTATAAAATGCAAAGAAATTTTTGATAGGTAACTAGTAGGGATTTGAATGGAGTGTATTGAAACAATTAATAACGTAGTTACAAAACCAGATATGCTCTAAAAAATTACAAGACACGTTCCAAATCAGGACTGTAAAGGGGCGTCCAGACCGGATGAGCGAGCAGTAGCGAGCAATAATTCGGGTATGTTCTATGGGAACGCTTAACTGGTGTGGACGGCTCTGCGAGCGAGCGAATGATTGCTTGCTCACGCTGTTCCACGCCGTGTCAGTACATCAAAGAAAATTCGCGCTATTGCATGTTCGGTTTGGACGGGATTTTGTTTACCACGTTTGCGATCGAATATCAAAAATGGAATGGCCGAATGAAGTTGTTTTAGAACTAATAGAGGAGTACAAAAATCGCCAAGACCTGTAAGGTTATTGCTAGCCTTTCTCTAGGTGAAATTGCTTTTCGGTAATTGGTATCACTTTTCGTTATTTTTATGTCAATTAAATCTAATAAGGTATTAACATCTGTAAGTGACATTCGACAAAAGTTCTGAAATTTTCCAGAATCTTCTGTTTCAACATCGTTAAGTAAATTGTTACAACCATGAGAAACTCGATTTTTAAAAAGAGTTAGGTACCACCATCTCCTCTGCAGTCGTTTCTCTTTTGACGTTTCAACAATTTATAAAATACAATGAAATACGCACAAGCAATTTTTTTTTCCGACATTATGAACATGAAGTGCCACACACCGATCAACGCCGAACATACAAATAATCGCTAGGTCTAGACGAAAGCTGATCATGTGCTCGAGAGCAGCAGAAATCACGAGCGAATTTGAATAAATGTTTGCTCGCGCTCGTTACTGCTCGCTCATCTGGTGTGGACGCCACTTAAGAGCTGTAAAGGTTTTCAAGAACTGTATTTTCCTCAGGAGGCACATTATAAGTTATATAGTCTGTAAAACGAATAACTTTGAATTTGACAGTTCCCGCGGGCTTTTCTAGTGTTAATTTTATTAGGTTAGCAACTTGCGGCCATGCTGACGCAATGCCGTCTCTAATAGAACAGCCTCAGAGCGAGATTTATGACGTCACGCTAGTTAGATACTACGGATTAATAAATATGTTGTAGAATACATGGAAAACATTATTATTCCTCGTATTTTTGGTGTGTATTTTAAAAATGATATAGTCTACATGAAATATACATAATATACAGTTAATAAATACAATATATATACCTATTTATAGTAATAAATACTTTGGCAGATAAACTATGAACCATACAAATGCAGCAAATGTTTTACAATATGGCTGAAATCGTACTCCATAGTCAATGTAGATAGTTTTTGTGTTAAGAATAATAATTTAAAAAAATATGTGGTCATCATTTGACAAGTTTATATTAGTTTATTAATTGCAGTAAACATTATACTATATAAATAAATTTTGTGAATGCAAATAATAATACATCACTATTAGTAGATATTGAATGTTTTTTGTTAAATTAGATCGATTTTCAAACCCCAAAATTTAAAATATACTTTACATTTTACCCATTATCTTATGTACTACCTATTCATTATTTGTATATTGTAAAACATTTGCTGCATTTGTATGGTTCATCGTTTTATTTGCCAAAGTATTTATTACAATAAATAGGTATATATTATATTGTATTTATTAACTGTGTATTATGTATATTTCATGTAAACTATATCATTTTTAAAATACAAACCAAAAACACGAGGAATAATTATGTTTTCCATGTATTCTTCAACATATTTATTAATCCGTAGTATCTAACTAGCGTGACGTCATAAATCTCGCTCCGTGGCTGTTCTATTAGAGACGGCATTGGTCTAATATTTAGAAATGTCAAAAGCTGATGACATTTTACTTTTGTCAATTATGACATTTCGTGTTGATTTTTGCAAGAAGAGGAAGAACTGTCACTTGTTTTATTGTTTTCCTTTTCTATTTCACGAAAGTAAAAAGAGTTACCTATCTGATTCGTTCAGGCACTCAATTTAAAGAATATCAGTAACTTTTTTGATAGAGGGATTTTATATTTGCCATGTTGGTAAAAAATAACGGTCAAAATTCAAAGTTATTCATTTTATAGACTATATACATTATTTCTTTTACACTCTACAATAATACAGGATGCTGCCTCTAATACAACTCTTCTCCTTTTCCAAAATGCTATCCAAAGCAAATTTTAATTTCAGTAGCTTTTGATGAAAGTTATACGTAAAACTGTCTGAAATTATGAAAAAAATAAAAGTGTAAATAAACTCCAGACTGGCGGAATTTTTGATTGGTCCGAGAAGGTTCAAAAACCCACCTTTCTTGCATTGAACTCGGGCGAAAAAAACAGCGGCAAAGGGATTTTTTCCCGGTCTTCCCTTTATCAATCCCACGCTTCCTTCGGGATAGTCGTCGCCTCGGAAGAAAATCGGCAATGGAAAGGTGTGGAAAGGAAAATTATTTTAATTTGGAAAAATCCCGCGCGCGGCGCCTCGTTAGAAACGAGGGAAATTGGAATTTCATCGCGAAAATATCTGTAGAAAGAGAGAAATGGAAGGAAAATTGGTTTAGGTAGGAGAGGAATGAGGGATATAAGAAAAAAAGGAAAAATATTTTCGTTAGTTAAGGAATCAGACGAGCGGAGTTCTTCTTTATTTATTGGAATTAGGAAAATAAAGCGTTTGATTTAAGCGCGCAGAGAAAATAAGTTGAGGGAAAATGAAGGCAACAAACTATTTGTTGACTCCAGTTTTTTGTAAACTTCTACATAAAGTTCTGAGTATTTTTCTGTTGGAGCCAAGGAACCATGACCGGTACATACCATACCGAACTGTACTGATGAGAGTAATCAACACTTTTCTATACTAATATATAAAATCCTTAAGTGACTGACTCACTGATTAATCACGATCCTGCTCAAACCACTCAACGTAAGAAGCTCAATTTTGGCATACAGGTTGATTCTAGGGCGTAGAGGTTCGATAAGAAGGGATTTTTCGAAATTCCAGTTACAAGAGGGTGAAATCACCCCTCAAATATTACAATATTTTGTTTAAAAAACGGTCAAGTTTCCGAAAAAACGCTTAAACACGTATATTTTATTTTGTTTTTTTACATATATTTAAGATTTTTTTTAAAATGTATACAGGGTGTTTCGGAAAATCTGGTCATTGATTAATCACGATCCTGCTTAAAGCGCTTGACGTAAAAAGCTGATTTTTGGAAAACGGATTGACTTTAGAGTGTAGAGGTTCGATAAGAAGGGATTTTTCGAAACTCGAAATCTAAGGGGGTGAAACCACATCTCAAATATTAAAATATTTTTTTATTTAAAAACCGGTGAGTTTTTCGGAAAAACTCTTAAACACGTATATTTTATTTTGTTGTTTTACATATTTTAAATTTTTTTAAAAAACTATACAGGGTGTTTCAGAAAATATGATCATTCAGTAATCACGATTCTGCTTAAACTGCTTGATATTTAAAGCTGATTTTTGGCAAACGGATTGACTGTGGGGTGTAGAGGTTCGATAAGGAGGGGTTTCTCGAATCTCAAATTCCAAGAGGGTGAAAACGCCCCTCAAATATTACAATATTTGTTATTTAAAAAACGGTTAGTCTTTCGGGAAAACGCTTGGACACGTATAATTTATTTTGTTTTTTACATATTTTGAAATGTTTTAAAAAATCATACAGGGTGCTCCAAAAAGTTGGGTTATTGATTAACCACAATTCTTCTTAAACTGCTTGACGTAAAAAGCTTATTTTTGGCAGACGGATTTTTCGAAAGTCAAATTCCAACGAGATGAAATAATGGAAATGCTTGCTTTGCTTTATCATCACCATTACAAATGATTAATTCGACGCGAACGAAGTCGCGGGTACACGCTAGTTTCTATTATGTATCCTTGAAGAAGGGAACCCTGTTATGGTACTGTTGTTCAGTCTCCTCAATCATTCGAAACGTGGAAGAAAATGGTGAAGGCGCTACTAAATGTCAACGGATTGTCTCCCTAAGATAGTAGAAAATTGAGAAACCTGATAATCAAGTATCAAGATGTGTTTGATAAAGGAGAAGCAGGGCAGAGAGGTCGTACCAATTTAGTAGAACATAAAATTGATACCGGAGATGCACGACCAATCAAACAAAATCCGAGAAGACTTCCACTCACCAAACGTGAGGAATCTGACAAAATCCTTCGAGAAATGAAAGAAGAGGTTGTCATCGAACCATCTAACAGTCCGTGGATATCGCCGGTAGTACTAGTAAAGAAGAAGGACGGTACTACCAGGTTCTGTGTTGATTATTGGCAGATTAATAATAATGTCACCAAGAAGGATAGCTGTCCCCTGCCGAGGATAGACGATACTCTAGACACGCTATCGGGATCGACAATATTCTCTACCTTAAATCTGAAGAGTAGATACTGACAAGTCAAAATGGCGTCGAAAGACAGAGAGAAGACAGCATTCTCGGTGGGCTCCGGACTGTGGCAATTTACCGTCATGCCGTTTTGATTGTGCAACGCGCCAGCTATCTTTGAAAGGCTAATGGAGTCTGTGTTAAAGGGACTATCCTGCACTACCTGTTTAGTGTACCTGGATGACATTATAGTGGTTGGGAAATCCTTTGACGATCATCTGAAGAATTTGGAAGAAGTTTTCAAGCGGCTAGCGAGCTCTGGTTTGAAACTTAGCCCCAAGAAATGTCATCTATGTAAAGGAAAGGTACACTACTTGGACAATTAAAACTATGTCATCAGCGAATCTTAGATGGTTAAGATATTCCCCATCTATTTTTAATCCTTTGTTGGTGCAGTCCAGTTGACGGCAGATTTCTTCTAGTGTTGCTGTAAACAGATTTAAGGATATCGCGTCCCCTTATCGTACTCCTTCGCCAAGTGAGAACTCTGGGGTTGTGTTGTATATCATTACTCTTGCATTGGCTTCTTTGTATATGTTGGCGAGAGTTTCTATGCCCTGAAATATAAGACCCTAATCAATTGGTAACTTAGTTTACAATTTTAAAAACTCATTCTTTGCAAAAAAGAACATTTCTTTATATGTATTTGCTCATAACATGTTAAAAAAATATAAAAAGTTTTTTAATCTGTTGTGAAATCTTTTATAACCAAGCATTATCCTTGAAACAAATAAAAAGTTACTTCTGTTTGACGAGGTGAGTAAATTAATTAAAGGAAAGACTATAAAAAATTTCAGGGGAAAATTTCACGGAAAACTGGGTCAAAGTAAGTTGTTTTTACAATAGACTTCGTAAAACGAGAAGAAATCATCAAGTTAGAAAGCTTTTTTTTTGTTTCCAAGGCCTTTAAGACGGTGTGGTCCTTCAAGAAACAAAATTTTAAATACCCTGTGTTATTCCAATTATTTATTCAGCTTTAGAAGATAATTTTAATTTGTTTAACTTAAAAAACCATTGAACATAGGTAAATAAAACAAGTTTAGATTGGAAAGTGCCCATAAGAACAATATAAACACTATTTATCTATATTCTTGCAACGGTCTTTGACTTTCAACGGATTTTGACGGGTTTTCCAGTCTATATAAGGAAGGTTCTAGGACATAACTTCTTCTGTCTTTGATAACTTTTTTTAACTGTACATAATTACGTTTCAATGACATAACTGTCAAAATTTGATAAGTATCTTTCAAAACCCACTAAAAATGACCGATTACATGTTCGAGACCGAGTACGGACTCGAGTACAGCGAGGACAGTACTTCAGAACCAGACGTCGACCTAGAAAACCAGTACTACCTCGCCAAAACCATGAAAGAAGACGACCCAAAGAACGCCATACCCGCTTTCCAGAAAGTACTGGACATTCAAGGAGACAGCAAGGGAGAGTGGGGTTTCAAAGCCCTGAAACAGCTTGTCAAAATCCATTTTCAGCTGGGAGACTATACGGAAACCATGGCCAGGTATAAGGACCTTCTGAGTTACATTAGCGGAGCTGTAACGAAAAATCATGGAGAAAAATCGATAAATTCAATTCTGGACTATACTTCGACGTCGAAGAATATAGAAATGCTGCAGAAATTTTATGAAACTACGTTGGAGGCTTTGAGGAAAGCTAGAAACGAACGATTATGGTTTAAAACCAACACCAAACTAGGAAAGGTGTTCTTGGAGAGGGGAGAATACACGAAATTGGCCGCTATTATCAAGGAGCTAAAAGCTAGTTGTAAGTGTGAAGAAACAGATATGGATCCTCATAAAGGTATAAAGAAGAAAATAAAAATAATAAGTTTTATAGATAAAAATATTTTAGGTACTCAAATGTTAGAGATTTTTGCTCTAGAGATTCAGATGTATACTCAACAAAAAAACAACAAGAAATTAAAAGAACTATACGAGAAATCTTTACGGGTACGTTCAGCAGTACCACATCCTTTGATCATGAGCGTTATCAGAGAATGCGGTGAGTTTCCCCATAGTATTATTTTATTTATTAATATACAGGGTGTAAAAAATAGTATACCAAACTTCAGTTGAAAAGTGGTGTAAAAATGAGACATTTTTCAAATCTTTTAGTTTTTTTTTATTTACAACTAGTTAAATACAAAAGTATTTCTTATACAGGGTCGCTTTTGTGTATGGAAAGGGTCGATTATTCGGTAAAATATAGGAGGTACCGCAAAAAGTTGAATACAAAAGTTATAGGGTTTTTAACTATCTATTAGCGGGTAATAAATTTAAGTATACAGGGTCGGTCATAAAGTCGTGGCACACAGTGGCATCGAGAAGCATCCAGCTGAAGTTTGGTATACTATTTCTTTAACACCCCGTATAATTTTAATCGATTGTAGGAGGTAAAATGCACTTGAGAGCTGGCGAATTCGAAAAAGCCTACACCGATTTCTTCGAGGCCTTTAAAAACTACGACGAGTCGGGCAATCCACGACGCCTAGCCTGTCTCAAGTACATCATCCTGAACAGCATGCTCATGAAGAGTGCCATCAACCCCTTCGACTCCCAAGAAGCCAAACCCTACGCTCACGATCCCGAGATCAAAGCCTTGACTCTACTCATAGAAGCGTTTCAAAGAAGTCAGACTTCTGATTTCGTGAAAATCTTCGAGAAGAACAAGGAATCTCTAATGGCTGATCCGTTCATTCGGGAACACTTGGAAGAACTGCTCAAGAGTGTTCGTGGTAACGCGTTGGTGAGGCTGATCAAGCCGTATCGAAACATAAAGCTGAGTTTTATCAGTGAGCAGTTGGGGATGGACGAGGAAGAGGTGGAGAATTTGCTGGTATCGTATATTCTGGATGGGCACGTTGATGGGAAGATTGATCAAGTGAATAAGGTGTTGAGGATGACCAAAGGGTGTGAGGATAGTAGATACAGTGCTTTGGATCGTTGGGCTGGAAATTTGTCCGATATCATGGAATCAATTGTCCTTTGATTTTTTATTTTTTCTATGCGATTTGAATTAGAATACTATGTTGTACTGTTAATAAAAAACTATTAAATGTAAATTGATGATTAATTTGATTTGATTATTTCTTTTGTTTGGCATACAGGGTTCCGAAAAGCTCTGTATTAGGTTTTTGGATGGTGAATTTTATTTCAATTTGTTTACATAATATGGGGGCAATGGTAACGCACATTATTAAAATATTTTTGTCAACATACAGAGCGATTCATGGTACAAAGAATACAAGGTATGATATTGCGCAGGTTGGTCGCTACGTCACAGGTGATAACAGGCGCTATTGGTCAGCACGCTCCGCGCGCCAGTTCAAATCGTCAAGATATTGTTATAAACCTGTTTTTTTTTGTTTATATACCGTCATTGAATTATCGCTAAGCAAGTTACTGTGGAGCAGTGCATAAGGAGTCGGGCTAAGAAGCGAGAGACCGGAGTTCGAATCTCGGCTGGAACATCACTTTTTGTTTATTTTTTTAAATACTGTTGTATTCTATAGTTTATTTTTGTAGTATAAAAAAAAGAACTATTTATTCTGTTATTTTTTAATCTCCTTTTTTAATCTAAATTGATTGTTAATAATACCTCATTTAATATAAAATAATATTCTACTAAATGTATCGGGCCCTAATTGTACCTAAAAGTAATATATTTTTAGTGATATACCATATTGTAAACTATTTAATATTTCAGTCACTTAAAAAGGTAATTTGCATTGAATAATTGCCTACCATTAAAGGAAATTTGAGCTATATAACCCTTGATGGGCATATTCTGGGTATGCAAATACTTCCTTTAAATTTTGGGTGTCGTTCAACCGATTTATTCTCAAAACCAGAAACATCTACATATAAAAAGAAGCACAGGTCACTAATTATAATAAACTTCACCCTTGGTATTACTTCCACTAATTATAATAAACTTCACCCTTAGAATTACTTCTATCACAATTACAATACGTTCATCTGCATTGGCATTTTCTACTTTTCGATGGGAAACAATAAACTTCCCAACATTTTTTAAATGATGTAACAATTCCTCTTGTGGTTACTTTTCCATAGATATCCTCATCTCTGTCCTCATGTGAATTCAGAGGCAATAAAAATGAAAATTATTTACCATAAACATCGCAAACTAAAAACCTAATAAACAATTTTATACCGAATATAGAAATAAATTTAGTATTTTTACCTATTATCGTCCAAATCCATGTTAATAGATAATTATTATTTTTAAATATATTTTTGGAACTGCTTGTTTTAGTAATTATTAAATTAAACGAACTAAAAAGTCTTAAAAATAAACAATTCTTAACCATAACCTCAAAAATGCAGATCTCCTGTCAACTTTCTTTATTTTTTATTTATTCATTATTTTCCTAGTGACGTCACAGGTGGTATGCGCGAGCTGAACGAAATTGGAGCCGCTATCGATCATACCTTGTATTCTTTGTACCATGAGGGCGATTCAAACGTATTTTCAAACCAAAGATATATATTGTTAAATGGAATACTATATATTTTTTAGCTCTATGGATATGCCACTAAATTTCAATTCCAAAAATACCATAATGTCATATACCGTATGATCGAAAAAAACTACGTCCAGTTGGCTGGGAAATGACGATCTATGACATTTCTCATATAAATTTACATAAAAATGACGCCGATCTTCATTTCATAGCCATCGCTGACGCCGATTTTATTCGATCATACGGTACTATACCGAGTGGTTTTTGAAATATAACCGTTTTTAAACTAAATTTTCCGCTTACTTGAGTCCTCTTAAAATTCGAAAGTATAAGAGTGTCTTCTTCAATTCTTGTTTGCTAAAAAAAAGTATTTTCTGCTGCTCCAATACAATAAATCATGTTTATTAATTTGTCACGTTAAAAATGGGTTATTGAGTTAATTATTTAATATTAATTTTCAAATGGATCAAGGGTGGCTTATTAGCATATTTGGAAAAAGCATTTTTTACGAATAATTTGGTACCACACACTTGGTATTTCGAGTCAAATTGTCGTTATGAACCGCATGTTATAGTTTCAAATAAACCATATGCGAAAATGTCAAAAGTTGACATATAATATGTCATTCTATTCAGAATGTCATTTTCTATCGAATAAAGTAGAAATATACCGAGGGTGACATTTAAAAATCAAAAGTTGTAGTCATTTCCGGTGAAACAGGAAGTGACCAAAAACAAATGAATACGTCAATCAATCCTAATTTATGTCATATACTAACATACCAAATCTCGTTTTTTTATCTAAAAAAAAAATAAAAAAGTTACAGGGGTGAGCCGCTTTTGAGACGCACTCGGTATATTTGATGATATTTTTAAATGCCTAAAAGTTATTTCTGTTCTAAATGTAATATGGAAAAAGGGGAACACAGTACCTTAAATAGAACAAAAACAACATCTGGGCTTCCCGCAGCGTCCTATGTTTTTTCCTTGTAACACCCATTTTTCCTCCCTATCGAAAATCGCCGCCCTCATTTCTGGGGCACGTATTCAATTAGTGTCGATTTTTTCTGCTTCCAATTGGAAGGCGGATCTACTTTCCATTCGAATTCTATAAAGAATCCAACTATTAATCTTTCCGCAAGCGGGCACAGAACGAAATAGAGCTCGGAGAGTTTAGTTTAGACAAAAAAGAAGAAGACAATGTACTGTTTTGTAGATAATGTGCCTAGGAATTCAAACATTGAGTCGAGAGTTTTTTTTTGTCAAACTTTTGTTATGGATTATTGATGAACAAAGGATCTGGAATAAGTTGAATTACCAAATGGAAAGAACAATAGATTTGCCAGTTGTCATTTGTTCTTTAGATTTTTATTTGCATTTCTCTCAAATGAAGAATTTTCTATAGAACAAACCAAATAAATTTTCAGTCACATGATTAAGCTTGACCGGCACAGCGTTGCCGTTGGCATCAAAATCAAATTTCTCATGTCAAAAAACTTCCAGACACCAATTTGCATACAAATATTGACGTAACTTCAGAAATTGTTTGGAAAAAATCAAAATAAAAATTAAAATTCTACACCCTGTATCTCCGATATAAATATTGTTTTAACAATGGTCTAAAAACCTTCAAATCGTTTGTAGTTTGGGTAAAACCACGGGGATGTCGCTTGTATGGGAAAACAGGCAACAGTCAAATTTAAACGTGCCAGGACCAACGACAAAGAAAGCAACATCTGCCAGGCATTGGCTTTCTTTGTCACTCACATTGCTTAAATCATGGTACCGCGGCCATTTTGTCAACAAAGAAGCAAGTGATTTAAAACAATTTTGCTTTTTTACAATATTAAATTACCATTTGGATTATTTGGATGTATTTAATGCGATTATTCAGTTAACTGGTAAGTCAGAAATTAAACACAAATACTTTATTCGTAAATACAACTAAGATGTAAACGTATTTTTGATTTTTTAGATTTCAACTTTTGCAAAGACCCGCCGATAGAACTTGCCTGGCAGCGTACCTGTTTAACTAAACGTATTATTTCCTGATAATAATATCAAAACACGTAAGTACCTCTATAATTTATGATGAAAAATGATTTTGATTATGTTTTATATTATTTAAATACTTTCTAACCTCAAATAATAGTAAGATCCTTGTTTATATCGCATAGCCCGTTCAAAACTGTATTGTCTTCAAAAAATGTTTACAAAACAAACAATTATTACAAAAAAAATGTCCTTTTAATCTGATTTATACCTCAGAAGGATGCTAGTAAAATTTTATTAAATCAACATTATATTATTTGGCCATTAATATGCAAAAGGGGCATACTGCCTTAACTTAAATTTTATTTTACTTCTCCTGACAATGTTCTCTATATTCTCTATTTTGAGTTAGTAAACTTTTGAACGGGATGTGCGATATATAAAATACATAATATATCCAAGGATATGATCTGATAAAAGTATTTTTTGATGCATTTTTTGGTTGTTTATGCACGTTGGCTTGGTTTATGTTTTATTCAGCTTATATTTATTTGGTATAACAGTTTTTTTTGCCTTTGGAATGGCATGCATTGAGGCTAGATAGTGTTTCATTAGATCATTAAAGGAATTTAAATTAGCATATATTTTTGGTGATATTAGTGTGTTATCATGATACAGGTAGTTGTATCATAGTGCCTTATGCATGTTATTTACCTATTATATACTTATGTATTATCAGTAAATAGATGATAACATACTACTAAAATGTCTTTTTAATAGTATGTTTATCTTTCCAATTCACTAGTTATTTGCAAAATGTATTTTGAACTAATTTAAGTCATTAATTGATCACCTTTCTTTTCAGGTTCCGGGATATTCTTTTTCATTGTTAAAAAATATATATATTTAAATATTATTGTAATATAAATCGCAGCTCTAAAAAATAAATGATATTGTTTACTAATGTGTAATTTATTTACTATGAATTTTCTCTGAAAATAATAAGTCTTTAATAATATCATTGATTTGCTGTGTAAAGTTAATAGACATATTTTTTAATACATTAAATTATATTAAAGTAATATAAAATATGTTTATTAACTTTAAACAGTAAGTCAGTGATACTTATAAAAATATTTTTTTTAAAATTTCCCCTCTTTTAAGCCCCGCCCCTCCAATTTCCCTCAATTTAGCTAGTACTGCCAGGCGACACCAGGTGGCGTCTGTTTCCATTTTTTAACATGAAGTTAGCATTTCTTTAATGTACCTATTCTCTGGGTAAAACTAAAGACATTATGTCAAACTATGTTAATGTTCAAATTTTACTATAATTCACTAATTCCAAGAATCTTTTATTGAATTTTTTTGCTACTACATAAAACTACAAACGATTTTGAAGGTTTTTAGACCTTTGTTAAAACAATATTTTTTCTCTTTATTACATTGCGCACAATTGCTTACTTTTTCTGGCTAATTATTAGTACTACAAAAAAATTGAATTTACTACAATCAATTGCATCGTTTGTAGTTAATAAATAGCCAAAAATCGAAAACTTTACTTGAAAACGGGGTCCAACGTGACAGAGCTTTTAAAGA